CTGCCTCGCCGGCCGCACGCCCAAACGACGCCCGGCCGCCGCGCGAGGCCTTCAGCCGAGCTCGGGGCGACGCGTTAAGTGCTAACGCAGGCATAAGCTACCTCCGTATGGAGACCAGCAATGAGCGGTTTTGTTTTGCCTCTATGATTTTCCGGTTATCTCGTTCCCGCCTGCAACCCTCCTCGCTGCCTTACTTCGACCTCCAGACCATGAGCGATCTTTTTTTCTCCCTCCCTCCCTCTCTCCCTCACTCTCCACCCCCTGCCCTGCTCTCTCTTTCGCCTGTTCTTGCTAGATAAGGCAAGAAAGTTCAATGACTCACACCCAAGACGATATTTGTGCTGCAAATGCCAAAACTGTTTAAACTGAAAAGCATTATTTTCCTGAAAGTCTGATCACAATCAAATTTACAAAAGAAAACTGCATTTCTTTTAATGCTGAACAGCTCTGTCTCCATGTAGGAAAGGTACCATGTTACCCTGGCTCAGATTTGTGCACCTCTGGATAGGCATTTTTTGTTTAATTATATTTTCTAGCCTGACTAGCGATGCATGAAGTGATTTGGAAAAAAGTAAGAATCACTCAGATTCTCCAGTCAAATTTATGTCACATTACATCTAAATGCTCAGGTAACTTCCTGGTTTGTGCTAACTTACTAACTGTGCTAACTTTTAACTGCTATAGTAAAATAATAGTAATATTATTACTATTATTAATACTATTACTATCCCACTTTTAGACAAATTGCCACAAATATTTAAGAGAGTTGTCCATTATAGTGTTTAGAGCAGCATATCCGACTGTCAGGCAAGGAAAAGAAAAAAATGTCATTACTCCCTTTGTTATGCTTTTAAAGTGAAGCAGTCACCTTCTTCAGTCACTCCGATAGTAATGGTAGATCTGCTGTCTGTGTGTGATGATAAATCTAAGCTAGACATTAGCTAGCAAGGTCTATGCACCACTACAGACCCACTTAAGCACTAAATTGGAAGATAAAATATTTAAGTGGAACTTAAATTAAGCAAAAGCCATGTGTTAGCCTTCTGGCAAGGGTGAATTGAGCCACTAGACGTTGATTCTACTTGGAAGGTGGCACTGATAAGGGATAAGGACACTAGGGGAGGGGCGGTAGGTGCTTTGATTAGCTTAGATCCTTTTAGAGAAACCGAACCTTAACTCATCCACTTTAAATTAAGCCTCATCTTGCAGGTCCAGGCGTGTAGTGTTAAGGTGAGAAAAGACTTAAGCTGAGAAAGCACAATGAAAACTAAAATTATTTAAAAAAACAGTTCTTTAGCCAAATACACAACAAGGAGGATGAATAAAGAATTCAGGAGGGCTTTCGGTGGTGGGAACAGGCTCCAGATAAGAGACAAGTTACTATTGCCTCCATAGTAAAACAAAGCTTCATCTCAGCACTCAGCATGGAGGACTTTTGACCACATGGTTGAAGGCATCAAGGCCCCTGGGACTGAGAATACAGAAATGGAAATGACTACAACTGAGATGGGAGCAAAAAGCTCAACTAAGTGGAGACATCATGGGGGTAGACAACCCCTATATCCAAATTCTGGATGAACTGTCAGGTTCAGACCAAGGTTTTAAATGATCAAGTCTTTTTAATTTAAGGAGAGTGGCTGGAGCGCTAGAGTCAACTACAGGCCCATTAGTCCGATCTCAGCAGCATGCGGGGCTTGGATCAAATACTAGAAGGAAGAATACATTAAAAAAGAAAGAAAATTGTCAAGTGCCATGAGGCACCAAAGGCAGATCCACAGCAGAGCAGAATGGTGCTTTTCTATATGAAGAGAATAGATACTTAAAAATGAGGATAATACAGTAACTCTCACCTATTAGGAATCAAGTGGCTTCAGATATGGTGCCAACCAGAAAAATGGTTAGGCTAGAAAAGAAGGGGAGTGGCGGAAGGACTGTTACACAGGGAAAGAGCTGGCTGAGGGGAAGCTAACGAGAAGTTTCAGTAAATGGCACTACTGGGCTGAGTGGAGAGATTTAATGGAGCTGTTCAAAGATCAGTCCTAGGGGCAATTATGTTCCTTAGCGACCTTAGCAAAAAATTTGGTGTGTGCTAATGAGACACTGGGAAGCACTGTCATTCAAGAGGGGGGTCAAAACATCGTGCTTGGTAAGTTGGATGATATCTCGGGCTACAGTACTGGACACGAGAAGAAGCATAAAATACTGAGAAGTTCAAAGTCACAATCTTAGGGACAAATGACAAGAATTTCAAGTAGAAGATGGGGACTCGTCAACTGGAAATAACAAAGAAAGAGTACTGTACTTATTAATCATAGGTTGACTATGAACTATGTGTACAGTACAGCTCTGGAAAAGCTAAATACAACTTTAGGCTGCAGGAAAGAGAGAAGAGCGAAGTTTAAATACTTTATGGAAATCCTCAGGGAGATCTCAGCTGGAACCATGCACAGCTCTAGTCACCTGGATTTCAGAGATGTCAGTTCTGACCTATATAGTGTATATCACTGGAGGGGTATCCTATAAGTACATGCCTGTTTCAGCTTAAGAAAACTACAGTAAGATAAAAAAAATGACAGTTTTACATAAAGATATCAGGGAGGTAAATGCTAGGAGAGGGAAAAGTACTTTGCATTAAAAAAATACATTTATGTAAGAATAAAAGGGGGCAAAATTGGAAATACGGACGTCTTCCAGTCATGAAAGGCTCTGAAACAGTCTTCCCTTATGAGCAGAAGAAAAGATTTTAAACTCTTCAGCTGAAATTTGATCAGTTTAGGGAAGGGAATATAGGACTTGGATGTTTGCAACAGGAAGGGACTGGTTTTGATGACCCAGGATGAACTTTTCTAGGCTTATGTTCCTATCCCTGCAACACCAGTTCTCTGTGCATTGTCACTAATATGTTGCTACACATTCATTCATCTTGATCGTGATCCACACCCAAAATCTGAGCATGCCTCTGCTGACACAGCTTTGCAGGGGCTCTATCCCAGCAGATCTGATCCAGGTTGCCCTTCAAGGCAAAGAGGCAAGGCCTGTAGGTGATACAAGATCAACAGAGATGGGGAAAACCTGGACTGTCAGTTAAAAAGCACTGTACATATGAGCTGTACCTCTGTTTTCTTACTAGAAACAGAAAATATATATATATGTCCCACAAACAGAGTGTGTACGCTGTCTACTGTTACGTGTAGAATTAGCAATAGAGATAAGAAAAACAAAAGTTGTTGAAATTAGATTTCAAAAAATCAAAATATTAGTACTCGGCAAACAACAGTGTATGTTTTATAAGGTACTGAGTATTCCAACATGTATTGTCTTCAGCGGAAACAGTATGCAGTTAGCACCTCACAGGGTAAAACTCCTGGGTAATTTAAGTCCAAGGAGAACATCTATATTTTCTTAACTGTACCAAGGAGTTGCTTAGTCTATAAACAAACTATCCTAATGATAAAGAGGCATCATGGGCATCAATTCTTTCCTGCACTGACAGAATCAATGCTTCCCTCCACGGTGGGCATAATACAGTTCCTATTTACTGTTCAAGGAATTACAATATGTTTTACTTTATGTATAACCAAGCTAAATTCAGAGATGTAGAGTTTAATTAGCCATTTTGCATAATTTACTAAGTATCCCAAATGGAGGAGCTTTTTTTTTTTAATTCCAGAACAGTCTTTATATATCAGTCCATAGAATCTGTTGTGTAAAGGATATATAGTAAATCATTTCACTGGTGTTTTAAATGTATCCGATTCCAAATGTCCCCAAACATCATCGGAACGAAACGTTTACATGTGAAGAAGATTAGATTTTTAGCCTAAGATTAGCTAACCAATAAGCATAAAAATATTAGTAAAAAGTCCATTCTTGTGATATTTTATACCCAATAGAAAATAAACATAGTAGAAAGTTCATGAGATGACAGTTTATTACTTTGAATTTGCCATCTTATTTAGAAGTAGACCCCAATTCCTTGCAAGATCATGTTTAACTTACTTTCTCCTTATTTCATTCACAAACTATTCTATAAAAGTCCTTCCATAAATAAGATCAAAATATTTCATTATAATCAGAAAATTTTACAGCTTCTACTTTTATTTCAGTATGTGTACCCTACATTTTAAATAGTGGTATTACATAGAACATATAAATAGTATATGCACAATATTTTTTCCTACTCTTTTTTTAAAATGCTCTGCAGTATGCGCATTCCACAGAAGAAAACAGCATCTTTTACCAAATAAATTGATTTCACTGGTGAAAGATCAGGTTAAACAATGCAGTGAAACCTTAGCTAGTTTGATAGAACATGCCCCACTCCACCAAATATTTTAAAGTATACTTTCACTTAGATGAAGGACCACTGTGAAACACCCAGGAGGACAGACTGGAGTGTCCAACTTAATGGCCAAGAATCTGGCACTCAAAAGGCAGGATCAGATGACCAGCAGCAAATGAGTTAATACTCCTCTGCAGGGCCACAG